AAAAATGGGATTTTGGGATTTATCCAGGCTGGAAAGTGACACTGCAGACCTCAGTAAATGGGAAAACCCACCCAAAAAATGGGATTTTGGGATTCAGGGGCTGCCAAACTCCCTCCGTGCCCCCACGGAGACGACTCCACCTCCCTGAGCCGTGCCGGGAACGCTCTCCTCGATCGGATTCTCGCCCCTCTCACTCTGCCCTGACTTCAATCCCTGATTTTTCAACGTGGCGACGAAAAAAAAAACCCTAAAAAAAAAAAAAAATAAAACCCAGGAAAAATGCCCCAAATCGCCGCGCTCCAGAACAAGGGCGCTGTGTGCCGGGATCCTGCGGCCGCTGTTGATCTTGGATGGGGCAGGGGAAACTGAGGCCCGGGGCTCCCCCGGCCCTTCCCTGCCTCGCACAATCCCAAATTGTCGCCGCCGGGATGGTTTTGGCTCCTCGGCAGGACCCGGGATCCGGGCGGGGAGCGGGGGAATAAATCCGATGTTATTCCCAGGGGCAGGAATTCTGCTGGCCTGGGAGCTCGGGATGATCCCGTTCCTGCTGCCCCACCCGAATTTTGGGGGTCTGACCCATCCTGGGAGGGCAGCAAGTCTGACATCTCCCCCATCCCAAATTTTGGGGATCCATCCTGGGAAGGTAACATCTCCAGCATCTCCCCCATCCCAAATTTTGGGGGTCTGACCCATCCTGGGGCTGTTGATGGACAAGCAGCCCCTCCAATGTCCTTCTCATCCCAAATTTTGGGGCTCTGACCCATCCTGGGGCTGGTTTTGGGAGGGCAGCACTTCTGATATCTCCCTCATCCCAAATTTTGGGGTTCTGGCTCATCCTGGGCTGGTTTTTGGACAGGCAGCACTCCCATCATCTCCCTCTTCCCGAATCTTGGGGTTCTGGCTCATCCTGGGCCTGTTTTGGGCTGGGCAGCACCTCCACCCCACTAAAAGTGGGGCTTTATTGGGAATTTTTTCCTGGCTTTATCTCACAGCTCCTGTTTTTCCGCCGCCTTAAAAGGCTCTTTCATAGCTGGGATTTTCCCCGTGAATGTCCATTTTATTCCAATTTTTTTTTTTTTTTACTTTCTTCCTTTCCTAAACATCTCCTCGGGGTTTTTCTCCCTTCCCACCCCTTTCCCCCGCTCCCCCTTTTTCTGTGGACGTCCCGTTTTTTGCCCCAAACCTCCATCAATGAAGGATTTTGGAGCGCTCCGAGCCTGGAGCTGCTCCGGGCTGGCAGCTCCTGGGAAAAAGTCAATATTGGC